CAATAGCGATACTCCCGAGTATTCAAGAACGAGACTCCCAATTATTCACGAAAAAAATCCCAACAGTCCTGACTCCGTAGTACGTACCCCCTCGGCTCCCAACCCTATTTCCTCACAAAACCGATGAAAAAAATTAAACTTTTTTCAAATCTCAGACAAAAAAATAATGGGGTTGAGATTTTCTTCATAGTTTAGAAGAGCAGCAGGGGCTAGACTCACATTAAGACCGAAGAGAAACTTTTCAAGATTGATAATTTCTTTGTTCGGGTTCAGATCTGGGAGATGAGGACACCTCTGAATTGATTTTGTAGGTGTAACCCCGAGGAGCTGTTTCGAATCATGACTATTATGATCTGGTGAGATCTCTTCGAAATCTCTTAACTTTCTTCTTAATATCGATTTTTTCCTTTTTTATGTTAAGATATAGAATTAGCGCTATACTCTCATTATTGATGAAATTTGCTTCATTGACATGTTTTATGAATTTGGTTTTTTTGTCATATTAAATAATAACAGAGCAGTCTCAATAACATCTAAATCACCGGATAGGGTTTTCAAATCTCAAATAATATAAGAATATTCTTATATGTTACTTTTTTTTTTAAATAATTATTTTTTTAATTTAAGATTTAGAAATAATTTTTATATTTATTTATATTATTTTAAAAAACTTAAAAAAATAAAATAAAATAAATTTTTTAAATAAGATAATTAATTAAAATAAATAATAATAAAATTCAAATAATTTTTAAATAAGATAATTAATTAAAATAAATAATAATAAAATTCAAATAATGTTTTTATCATAAAAATAAAAAAAATAAAATAATTAATTAAAAAATTTAAAGTTAAATAATGACACTTATTTTAAAATAAAAAATATTTAAATTATATTTTAAAAAAGTTAAATGTTCAATTTAATTCCTCAACCTTTGTTTTTAAACTAAATTTATTTTTAAATTTTAAAAAATATTAAAAATATTTTTAAAATTCAAATTTTTAGCTCAATTTGTTACTTTCGTTTACCAAAAAAATTGACTCTTTCCTTTGAAAAATAAGGATGTGGCATTTTTTTCCATTGTGGCATTTTAACTAAAATTTTCCATCGTGACATTTTTCCATTGTATAGATAGCCAAGAACCTGGATTGATGGATGTGCAAGGTGGAAGGAAAG